AGGAGCTCAACAGTCATTGCCTTATAAAGCAGTAAAGATAGTTTCAAGTTTCCATCATTGCACACAGTTGCATTGACGGGTGGGGATCTTTTTTCTGCTGAGGGCCATTTGGATATTTATAACATCATTTGAGGGCCACACAAAATTATCAATTTAAAAATTAGCCTGGCTCTGGCTGGTTTGGCTCAGCGGTTTGAACATCGGCCCGCAGATCAAAGAGTCTGCAGTTCAATTCCTGGTCAAGGGCATGTACCTAGGTTGCAAGTTCGATCCCCAACCCTGGTCAGGGTTGTGCAGGAGGCAACCAATCTAAGTGTCTCTCTCACATCAATGTTTCTCTCTCTCCCCCTCCCCCACCATCCACTCTATCCAAAAATCGATGGAAAAATATCCTCGGGTGAGGATTAACAACAACAAAATTAGCCTTCTACATTTGGTCAGGCTAATTTGGGGAGGCGTGTGATGTTAGCTGGTATTGATCAACAGGCCTTATATAGCCCATAGGCCAGATGGTCCCCACCCTTGGGAGGGTTCTGTTTAACTACTGAATTAGCATCATTTTATACATCAGGCCTTCAAGAGATGATGAAGAGCACAGCATGCCTGCCATATGTGACCATTCATGGCAGGAAAGAATGGTGGAAAAGGAAAAAATTTCACTCCTGGAATGAGCTTATGTGATATAGTATTGACATTTAATTATAAGTAATAGCCTCGGGGGGTGGGGAGGAACAAACAGAGAAATTGTGGGCTAAAATGGAAAGGAGTCAGTAAATACTATTTGAACAACTCATCACACTCCTCTGAACATTCATAAAATGTACCAGGCTCTTCTCATTTGTGAGTGGCTACATGGACTTTATTGGTCATCCCTCAAAATCAATTCTTCCATCTCTCACTTTCTGCCCCCAATGTTCTGCTTTTTAAAATATGTAATAAAACATTTTGAACATATATTTAAATACACAGAACCCCAATCAAAATAGAAAAATGCAGACTTACCACTTTACAAAAAAAAGACAAGGACTTTATTTTAAACAAATCCTCGGTTGTGTGTTATACCACATCCATATCTAAATCAGAAATCATAATAATAATGCAAAAGAAACAGGGCTCATAAAAGCACATTATCCAGATATTACTCTTGGCCGATGCTTTAACTAAATACATAGTGGATGTGAAAGGTACAGTATGGCACTTAAATAAATAAGAGCAAAGAAAAGGAAATATATTCACAGTCCAAAGCAATAGGTTTTTGAACCTTTGGTATATGTCTCAAGCATCCGTAAACACATGTTAGCCAATAGTGTTTAGTTCCAGTGATTCTGTGTGTGTTTCAAAAATAACTGATAAAATAACAAACAGGGATTGACATGGGCTGATTAAGGTCTCTGGTGTGAGCACACAGGTAAATTCAAACCATGGCAAAATTAAGTGCAGCTATGTTGCCCAACAAAACTATATTAGAAAATGAGTGAAATACATCAGTTAGAAATTCTGTGGCTCGGGTAGACACCCTTGATATTAATAAAAATTACTTTTAATCCTATCCAAAGTCCACGTACTGGAAGGCCGAAGTATCCCAAAGCTCATAGCTACATGCCTAACAGTGCAACAACAATCGCACGGAAGTGTTATAGTTGCATATTGCAGTTCCCTCCCTCCCGCCCAAACCCTGTCCCTAATAAACAGCACCAGTGCAGTTTGAGTTAGAAAACTGGAAATATTGAGACATTCCTAAGGTTTTCATAATGACTAAGGGCCAGTCAGATAGGGCTCTAATGCAAACTTTTGCCATGTCTATTCTCCAAAAGCACCCCAAGTAATTCCCTCTAGCTTGCAGATAAACCATATTAGGTCTACTGTAAGGCCAGATTCGGGGGGGGGGGGGAGCTGGCATGCTATCCTGGGTTGAGGGAAAGGGGCATGCTGATGGGGGAGATACATGAAGAATGCCTCAAGGGTGTTTGTCTTGCAGCCCAGGATGAAGGGTTGTGTTGAGATAAGTCACAGATTTTGTACCAACGAAGTATTTGACTCACACCATTCACCAGGACACAGAGCGCAGTAGAGCTAAGTTCTCCTTGGTAGCTGTGTAAGTCCACTGTTATCAAGATCAGATGGGGCCATAAAAGGAAAGGTCTCCAAAAAGTCCAACTCATCCATCTCATCACTCTACCCAATTGTGTCTGTGGAGCCACTGGTGTGCAATGTACTAACGATTCTATTTTCTCTCCTCTCCCTCTGATGCAAAATCTTCTCTTAAGCAGCCTTTTCCTGGATCTCAATGGTGAGAGTCAAATAAATGAGGGCAGATATAGCCACTCTCAAGCAGTCATCTACCTCGGGACTACTTGTCATCCCCTTGGCCTTACCCAAACCTACCCCTTCACACATAGGCAGAGTCACTGGACTGAGTCCTGCCAAAGTTGGGAACACTGACCCGGGGCAGGTCCTTGTTGCGGATCTCATAGACTGACTTTCTCTTGGCCTGGGCCCCTCGCACAGCCAGCTTGATCTTGCGCCATCCCAAGTGGTTGAGTTCAGCCAGGTTGAGCACAACACAGATGCCACTCACAGCAAACATGAACACTAGGAAGACGGTCTTCTCAGTAGGCCGGGACACGTAACACTCCACCTCCTTGATGCAGGGGTAGCGGTCACACTCATACAGCCCTGGGACGCTGAAACCGTAGAGAAAGTATTGGCCCACCAGAAACCCAATCTCCAAGGCATTTCGGAACACCACTTGGATAATGTAGAAGCGGGAGATGCCTTCCTGCCTTCGGAGCTTGGATCGTGCTGCAGTGCGCAGACCTGACGGGTGCGGGGTCAGCTCCTTCACCTCTAGACAATCTGGCTCTGTCTCCTTGCTGGTGTTCTCTGTGTTCTGCAACACCCCATTAACGATGGCGTTTTGCATCTTCTTATCTTCTCGTTTTCCACCACTGCCCCCACCCCCAGTTCCTCCAGGACCACCCATGGACTCAGGGGGGTCTCTGTCCAGGGCTAGGAAGACAGTAGAGTAGCGTCGTTCTCGCTGCTTGGCAGACTGGTGCACAGAGTAGGTAATGAAGCAGAGACTTGGGGTACACACCATTATGATCTGGAAGACCCAGTAACGTATGTGGGAGATGGGGAAGGCGCGGTCATAGCAGGCCTGGTTACAGCCGGGCTGCAGGGTGTTGCACACAAACATGGTCTGCTCGTCATCGTACACTGTCTCCCCCACAATGGCCACAATGAGGATCCGGAAGATCACCACCACAGTCAACAGGATCCTGAGCAGGGGGAGAGGGAGGGAGAAAGGTTCTCATGGGCTGAGTCACTGACTTAGGAAACCCCTGCTCCTCCCTTCCTTGCTCTGGTGTTTAAACCAGTCCTTCCACTGGGGAGCTGTCCATCTCTGCATGGTTCTGAAGTGGGGATCTTAGGAAACCTTTCTCTTCCCTTTCTGTTGGGTGCTGCGAGCACTTCATATTACACAGGGATCTCAGATATATATGTCTCCATATACTGGACATGGTACATTTGCAACAGATAGATTTCACCTGTATATATGGAATGTACAGAGGCACAAAACACACCTTCACTCTGGATATGGCAAATGCACACGGAATATCTGAACAGAATACATTTCAGAGTCTACATAGAGTGTGTATACAGCTATTCCAACTGGATGGGTATCTTTAATATGAATATTGGACTTAATACTTTACATAAACAGAGAGCTATGAATATATATGTGTGTGTGTGTGAACAAAATTGGGTGTGTGGGTTTCTGATACTGCACGTTTTAACAGCCAAATCAGTTTAGCTTAATAAAAATGTGTTGGGGAGATACATCTGCTCTGAGGAGCAAATCCATCTTCCCATTTGCCCTTCTCTGTCCAAACACAATCCTGCCTTCCTTGTAGATTCTATTTAGGGAACCGGATGGAGATTGGTCTGAGTCCAGAGAGTGGGGGGACCATGACTGAGCCAACAACTCCTTTTCCGCTGGGAGAAGAGTGAATCCCCCGGTGGTGCTTCATAGGGAGGGGATGGGGGCGCTGAGCAGGAGCAGCTTAAGAAGGGGGACATCGCTGGGCATCCGGTAATCCCTCAGTGCCGGGAACACAGACGCATGGGCTGAGGACGATGGGAAAGGGCAGGGGATGGGCTGGGGGTATTGGGTCTCGGCCTGGACGTGAGAAGGGACTCCCTGGGGCCACCCGACGGCAGGCTCAGCGCCCTTACCTCCCGATCATAGTGGAGTGCTGCTGCACCGCGGCTTCCAGCAGCCTCTCCAAGATGGTCCACTCCCCCATCGCTGTGCATCCGGAGGCAGCAGACAAAGACTGGGCAGCACCGGGCACGTTCCCGCTCCTGGCCCCTCCCCGGGCCGCACGTCCCGGCTGGGAGCGAATTGCCCCGCGATTAAAGAAGCAAACAATTTTTTTTAAAAAAAATCTACGAATCTCCCCTCTTCTTTTTATTGTACTTAAAAGAGAAAAATGGGGAAAGAAATTCAAGCGCGCCCCGACCGGTGGGTCAGCTGGCGCGGTCCGGAGAGCGGGCACGACCTCCGGCGCCGTCCGGGGGTCAGGTCTTGAGTCCACCGATGCCCGGGCGAGGGGCGGGGCGGGGGTGGCAGCGTGCAGGTCCGCGAACTCTCGCGCCCGCCGGAGAGAGGTCTCGGGGCGCCACTCACCCCCCGGGGTGGGGGAGCGGGTAAGGGTCCGGGCACCAGCCCCCGCGCCTGGCACTTCAGCCGGCACTGGGCGCTCCCGCGCTGCCACCGGCGAGGCCTGGGCGGAGCGCGCCGAGCTGGCTGCGGGGCTCGGGAATCCGCGGCCGCCTCCTCTAATCCGCCCTTAAGTAGTCTCCGCCTGCGTCACGCCAGGTCGGCGGAGGGGAGCCGAGCGCGGCGTGCGGCTGTCGCTGCGCGCTGGGGCCCGAGGGGCAGGCGACGCGCGCAGGGGCACAGCGGGGAGAGTCCTGGGGGTCTGCTGGGGAGTGGGGCGACTTCGAGAGAAAGGATCGCACCGCCCCTCGGGGCTTCTCAGGGCGCCCAGGTAACTTCACCTGCCGGCCAGCCCCCTGCAGGAGGAGGCGGAGCCGGGAGCAGACGCGGGGGTGAGTGGGGAGGGCCGTGAGTAGGTAGTTTCGCTTCTATCTACGTGCAGCCCTTTCACCTTTGGCTTTTTTGTCTTCCAGGAGGCAACTGAAATTCCCTCTCTAAATGGAGATGCTGGTTGGGGGAAGGAGAATGGGGGCGACAATGGGATGTTTCTAAATCTCCCTTGGAGAGGACTGCGTGGCGCAGCGGGAACGCGCGGTTTGGTGCCTCGGTGGAGCCGATGCAGGGGTGAGGGGAGCCTGATGAGAGTCCATTCAGGCTGAAGCTAAAATGTAAGTGTGAAGCTCCCTCTGAGGATGGGGATCTGGGCACAAGTCTGTAATGAAAGGTGCCTAGAGTGAGCCAGTGGGCGGTCATGATTAAACGTCTGCTTGCTTTCTTTCCGTTTAAAATTATTTGTTTGTTTGTTTGTCTGTTTGTATTTACTAATGGGGAGGAGGGGTTACTTCTCAGGTAAACTGTGGTCGAATCTGAATTTAAGGAGGCCCAGTACTCAACTAGCAGAAGTAGGGCCGCCCACAGCCACCCCGCACCTCCACTTTCCCTGTCCCGCCTGCCTTGGCTTTCTCCCCTCAACCAGCAGATCCTGGTTTCTGTTTTTAAATTTATAATTTTGTTGTCAGTTCTGTCTAGAGAAACTGCTTAATTGGTCTCTAGAAAACTGAAACAATCACACCAGGCTGCTAATTAGCTCGGGGTCAGTATTAGGAGACGCAGTAATTGGGAATATTCCATATAAATGTACCAAAAGCACAGTGGGTAAGTAGTTGTCATGCTTTTTAAAATACAACTGTGAAAGGGTTGGTAACTCATTGTAGGCATCTGACGAAGTCCTAATTATCCACAGTTCAAGAGCAATTCCGGTGGTTGAGTAGCTGGTGGCAGGGGCCTGGGAAGAAGGGTACATGGCATGGGCTTGAGTCCAGTCATAATGCCCATCTACATAACATTCCTAGTTTAAAGGCACAGCCCCAAGCTTCAGTGTAAGAGGGACCTGTGAGATCCACCCTCGGCCTGACACCTTTACCCCAAGGAAGCACTCTACTAAAAGCAGAGAAAGGCATAGGGTGTAAATGGAACATTAGGACTCAAGCAGGCACTTTCATTTCCTGCAGGACAGGGAGGAGGTGCAAAAAATGGAGATGGATGGATAATCAATTATCCAATCTGCTTCCAGATGGACTGGTGATTCCCCCAACTCAGACTTGGTGTGTTCTCTCAGACTCCCTTAGACTCTGGCTCTCCGTGTTCCCTCTTTCGCTGGCAGAAGCTTTTGGAGTAAAAGATCTTAGACAGGGAGTGAATGAGTGAGGACGTCCCCTGGGTAATCTGTTTAACACCTTTAAATGTCTGAAAATAGGCTGCACGAGTCAACATCATTATGTTCTACACATGTGGCTTTTCCAAACTCTTAAAGACCCTAGATTGGAACAAATGCATTCTATATATTCTTACAATGTAATTTTCAAGCACTAGGCTATGGCTATATTGTTATGTATTAGTTTATTACTATGAATTATACTTTAATTTGTCATATGGATTCAACATATTAACACATGTATACATAATATATATGTGTAAACACACAAAAGCACCTGTACACAGAACCTATATTTTAAAAGACTCAACTCTTAAATTTGGTAGCCTGTTTTTAGGTAAAAATCTTATTATCCCCACCATACCTTGAAAACATTGAATTGTTTTTATTTTTATTTATTTATTTTATCCTCACCTGAGGACATTTTTGCACCCATCTTCAGATAGAGCAGGAAGGAGAGGGAGGAAGAGAGAGAGAAACACCAATGTAAAAGAGAAATATCGAGTGGTTGCCACCCACACGACCCCAACCAGGTCAGAGGACAAACTGCAACCGAGGTACATGCCCTTAGCTGGAACCGAACCCGAGCCTCTCCTGTCTGCGGGCCAACACTCTAACCGCTGAGCCAAACTGGCCAGGGCAAATTGTTTTTATTTTTTAAAGTCACTCATAAGTTGTTATGTTGTGTTTCCTTTCTTGAATCCAATCAATGCCACTGTCAATTAATAACTTGCCCTGATAGTGCTGCATTAGATACAAAAAGGTCCTGCATGGAGCTGGGCATCTCTGGATTTCCTCAGCATTATCTCATCCAGCTATGTTCTTACTGTCTCAAGTTCCCTCTGATTGGAGATCTCCATTTAAGTCTCCTGGGAATTTATTTCCTTTAGCTCTTACTTAAAATTCAGTTTACTTGATTAGTGTAATTGTTTTGGATAAAAAAACAATGGAATTCATAGGATAAACTGGATAAACATTAGATCATCTGGGGATGCTCATTAAAAATACAGATGCTGCCCTGGCCGGTTTGGCACAGCGGTTAGAGCGTCGGCCTGCGGTCCTGAGAGACCCGGGTTCGGTTCCCGCTAGGGGCACGTACCTCGGTTGCAGTTTGGCCCCCGGCCCTGGTCGGTTGTGCGGGTGGCAACCACTCGATGTGTCCCTTCACATCGATGTCTCTCTCTCTCTGTTCCTCTCTCTCCCTCCCACTCTACCTGAACAAAAAATGGAAAAATGTCCTCGGGTGAGGATTAAAAAAAAAAAAAAATACAGATGCTGCCCTGGCCGGTTTGGCACAGCGGTTAGAGTGTCGGCCTGCGGTCCTGAGAGACCCCGGTTCGGTTCCCGCTAAGGGCGCGTACCTCGGTTGCAGTTTGTCCCCGGCCCTGGTCGGTTGTGCGGGTGGCAGCCACTCGATGTGTCCCTTTCACATCGATGTCTCTCTCTCTCTCTCTGTTCTTCTCTCTCCCTCCCACTCTACCTGAACAAAAAATGGAAAAATGTCCTCGGGTGAGGATAAAAAAAAAAAAAAAAAATACAGATGCTGCCCTGACCTGTTTGGCTCAGCAGTTAGAGCACCAGCCCAGGGACCGAAGGGTCTTAGGTTTGATTCCTGTCAAGGGCACATACCTGGGTTTTGGGTTCCATCCCCAGCCCCAGTAGGTAACCAATCAATGTGTCTCTCTCACATTGATGTTTCTCTCTCTCTCTCTCTCTCTCTCTCTCTCTCTCTCTCTCTACCACTTCCCTTCCTTTCACTCTTTCTAAAGAAAATGGAAAAAATATCCTCAGGTGAGGATTAACAAAAAAAAAAAAAAATACAGATTCTGGGGTCTCACCCTAAACCTACTAAATTAAAATCTTTGAAAGCGAGATTTAAGTACCTGCATTTTTATTAAGTTCTTTTCAGTGGCTCTGATAACAATAAGAAGTTGAGAGCTCTTACTTCTGTGAAAATTAGAGAAGGAAGAAATCCTAGAAATCAGGAACTCTATCCTGTTTCACAGATGTTAAAATCAACCCCCAAATTAGGTAGTTTGCCCGAAGTCAGACAAGTAGCTAAGAAAAAAAAAAAAAAAACTATGAAGAAAGTGTTACTTAAGAGTCTTAGAGAAGGGGTCCAAATAATTTTTTTAAGAGTTTATTTGAGCCAAACTAATGACATATGCCAAGGAGCAAGATCTCAAATGCTCCCAAGGACCAAATAATTTTAAAAGATGGAAAACGTGACCTTTGAGGAAGGAAAAGGGAATTAGGGTGGTTTGGATCATGAGAGCATAGCCGCCTACAAGTATCTAAGGGAAATGAACACCTGGATTGTTGGCTTTGCAAAGCCATGTCCTACCTGTCATTTTCACTAATAGAGCAGGGAAGTAGTCTCAGATCTAGTGGGGAAAACTCTAAAGGCACACAGCAAAGGGCATGGTTGACTATTTGAATCCAAGGAGGGAGTGAAGAGTTATTAACAGTGGTCCCGTTTACTACTTCCGTGTTTCTGGAGGAGGGCTTATCCTTACATGTGCTTAGAACCTCATCCTACTCAACCACAGATCCTCAGGTGAACCTGTTGGTTTTGCAGCTTCAAATATTCCACAAATGAAACTTTCTAGGAGGTGTAAGAATGAAAATGAATAGCCGACCTCTCTTCTCCTGGACCTTACATTCCTGGGGAGCAGAGGGCTTATACGCCACCCTGCTTTCCACAGTGTCTTCAGTGTTGTGGAATCTTCCGTTTATTGGAGGAGTGGATAGTGACTCTGGCTCTCAATCCCCCTCAACCTGAGAAAGTTGCATATTCCTTAAACAGAGGTGGGTCCTGACTCCCCCACGACCTAAATTCATTCAACCCAAGAGGAGAAAGAGATTTCCTTTTGCCAACTAAAAGTCCCTACATACTAGGAGAAGCCTGGGCCCCTCCCTAGAAAACCCCCTGCTCTCACTGTGCTCCGCTCTCACTTTCTGGGGCCCCAGCACCTGCCCAACTAACCTGGAGCATCTGCTGAGCTTCAGGCCTGGGACTGGAGCATGAGAGGCAGGCTCAGAAAGCTGGTCCCAGCCCCCAGTAACAGGCTCCGGGAAGTGCCAGCATCTGTAGCTTCCTGGGATTTGTGTGGCTCCAGGGGGGCAGCGTTCAGTTTGGGGTTGGCCTCTGTGTCCAAGTCCTCCACATTTCATTCACAAACAGCTCGGATTAACCGGGCTTTATCTCCCCCGCTGGCCTGCATACATCTGTCTCCTAATGAAACCATAAACTGTCTTCTGACAGCCCAAACCCAACCTGTCTTGTGAGATTTAAAAGAACAAAGTGGTGCCCTGGCTGGTTTGGCTCAGTGATTAGAGCATCAACCCTACACACTGAAGGGTCTCGGGTTTAGTTCTGGTCAAAGGCACGTGGCTGGGTTGCACATTCAATCTCGGGTTGATATTTCTCTCTCTCTCTTAAAAAAAAAAAATTCAGTGGAAAATATCCTTGGGTGAGGATTAACAACAACAAAAATCTCCTCCTCTTTGTTGCAAAGTGATTTTTCTCCTTTTTTCTTTTGTATTTCTTTCCCTAGTAACGCAGCTCAAATATCTAGAGGAAGCACTTTTGTTTTTACTGTCCAGACAAAATTTACAGCTTTTTTCCATGGGGATAGAGCTGTCCAACCTGCCCATCATAATTAGGGGCTTACTGTGTGGCCTAGGACTCCCTTGAGTCCGTCACCTTTAAAATCATTCTGCAACCTTATGGACCCAAATGCCAAACTGTCTTAGTCCCAAGAGAGTGTGATTCCAAATAGTGGGCAATCCAACATTTTCTGCCAGCTAGTCCTCTGAGTAAAAGGCTATGTATCCCTTAAAAAAAATCACATGTACAAACTCCTCATTCCCCACCCACCTCCTATATACAGAATATACCTACGCGCAGCGCGTAGTAATAGCACAGGGATTAATGCAATAAGACCTTGTGGC